ATATATATATAATGTTAGAAGAAAACTCTCGTGCAAATGAAACTTTATCGAAAAACATTTCCAATACCAAGATGACGCTTGATGATAATGGTTATTGTTATTATAGTCAATAGTCATTTCTGGCAGATTGCTTGCTCGCTGCGGTGGCGGGGTACGTATATCCCGTGACCCCTGGAAGTGACGTAAAAAAACACATGAGGGTGAGGGGGAAGGAAGGAAGATCTTTTTTAGGTCGCGGGGGAGTGAGGGGGGCGGCGGATGGGGCGCGTCCAGTATCACATGTCAGGATGTCATGGCGCCATGACACATTGTGTACATACAGGTTAAGTAGATTCGCAAGAAGGCCTCAAATACTGCTTTAACAGACGCACTCTCTCCACACACAATCTCCTCTAGATAAGATAATCTAGTCCATGTAGGCGTGTCTTAATTGCATAGGAAACTCGATATGTAAATATGTTTTTATCGAGGAATATACCCGATTTTTTTTTTTTTTTTAAGATGAGAGAGAGAAAGACAATCAATTAACATATTTTTATTGACTTCTTGTCAATACAGGAAAGTGCACCGTCCTCACTAATTATGAGAAATTAACATGAAAAAAAAAACGAAAAATAGATATAAACAATATGTTATGTACAATGACATTGTACATGCCGCCTCAGCCACCGATGCAGAGCTTAGTGGAAGATTGCCAGCGGGTCCCCAGCGATACCATGTATTTCGCGATCAACGAAGAAAACGATGAGAGAGAAGAGAAAATAGAGGTAACTTGGGCTTCTGGAGCATAAATCGCCAACTACCCGCGATGTACAGCCACAGTCTAGAAGTCAAGTCAAGGGGAGAGCTGATTGCCGCGATGAATTTAATCACCCAGTATTACTTAAAGTATGTTGTTTTAATGATCATTTGTTGGTTGGAGGTTGATTTGGAAAAAAAACAAAGCTACATTAACTAAATATTTATTTGTAAATTAAATTTAATTGCCATCTATCGTTAAAATCTTTTACACAAATAAATTTACTGGCAATGCGTTTCTTTTAAATATCATCAAATATTATCTCTACAGACCTTACTGCAATGATATGAGTTCAAATATTATCTCTACAGACCTTACTGCAATGATATGAGTTCAAATATTATCTCTACAGACCTTACTGCAATGATATGAGTTCAAATATTATCTCTACAGACCTTACTGCAATGATATGAGTTCAAATATTATCTCTACAGACCTTACTGCAATGATATGAGTTCAAATATTATCTCTACAGACCTTACTGCAATGATATGAGTTCAAATATTATCTCTACAGACCTTACTGCAATGATTATCATTATCATTGCAGTAAGGTCTGTAGAGATAATATTTGATGATATTTAAAAGAAACGCATTGCCAGTAAATTTATGTGTGTAAAATTTTAAATATTTATTTAATCCTCGATGTTTCACTTACCTGCTGTCACTCTCCAAATAACCATTCCCTCTGAGGAGAGAAACAGCGAGTTACTGAAACGTCAGGTATTAAATAAATAATTAGTTAATATAGTTAAAGTAGGTTGTTGGTTGTTATATTTTCCATTGTTGAACAAGAGATTCAAGCTTTCGAAAAGAACGACGCTCTTCAGAAAGCCCTAGCTTATTGATCGTAATGTGTTTTAATTGCATAGGAAAAGTCAATATGTGCAAATATGTTTATCATCGAAGAATTTTATCTGAAGTTCTTTTGATGGTTGTTATGTATATTCTCTACCAGAGAAAAAAAGTAATTTATTTTTATTGATATTTCGACAAAAAGGATTTGATATTCGTCAGTATAAAGCAAAATATAAATATATGCAGTAAGAATATCATTTTGTTAGTTTGGAAGTTGGTTTAGAAAAATATAACTACATGAACCAATTATTGTTTAAGAAGACCTTGTCTGGAGAAGAACTCTCAAGTTGGGGAAGTCTTCCTTGCTGAAGAAATTTGTACACATACACAACTATATATATTCCCCTACATTTTATCTACCCTTTATTTACTATTTTATTCTATATTTTCCCACCTTTGTAACAATTGAATGGAAGAATTAATAAAATTGTTTAAATTGTAAACCAATTATTTCGTTTCAGTGACTCACTCTCCTCAGGGTAATGACAGAATGATTGAGAGTCACTGAAAATTCGAGAATTGATTGATGTAGCTTTATATTGTTTTCCAAATATGCAGTAAAGTTTTATTAAATGCATCTTGAATCTTTCTTATCTCCGTTTTCAGGTGATGATGGAAAATTTGTAACCAGAGCTGTTATCTAAAGAAATAGGAATCAAGCAACCATCATCTTAAAGTTCTTGATTTCTTCGAAAAAAAAACATTTCCTTGTCTCAATTTGATCATTTACAAGATAAGCATTGATGGACGAGTGGTGTAAACAAATTGTCAAATTTAGACAGCTACGACCCAGATCGAATTCCGCATTAGGAACTTTTTTTTCTTTTTTTCTGAAATTCTTACAAAAATAAGTGAAAGTAACCAAACACACAACGTTCTGGCACATTTATAAGTGCAAAAATCGAATTGCTTTCTACATATGTGTTGTTTCTTATCCCCTTGTGTAAAGATTATACGAATTCCATGAGTTCATGCTCCTCGAGCTGTTTTATCATAAGCAGCAGCCTCTCCCAAAGGTCCTGTTTAGTACATCTAATGCAAGCCAAAATGTGTTCTGGAGCTGCAGGTGCCAAGCTTACATATTAGACAAGTGGGGTAGATTTTGTTGTTATTTTCTATCTTCAATGGTTTGAGATGGCCTATTCTAAATCTTGTTAGTGTTGTTTGATGCTGTCTGAGGTTCAGAGCTCCTCCTTCTACTTGGTACACCCTTGTTCGGCGGTACATATACTAAAATTGGAACGATACAGAGAAGATTAGCATGGCCCCTGCGCAAGGATGACACGCAAAATCGTGAAGCGTTCCTCCTTCTACTTGGGATAAGCAAAAAAGCTCCGAGTCACCCAGTAAAAAATGTCAAAGCTGCAGATCACATTGGGAAACTGTGGATTGGGTGGGGAAAGGTGTATGCACACGTGGAAAGGATGGATCAAAGGGACTTCCGGTGAATCAAAAGACCGGAAGTCGGTCTATCGCCATTGTGTTTCCCTTTTTTAAAAAACCACCCGCATGGGTTTCGAACCCAAACACACGCTTCCTTTGTTTCCCCATAACGCCCCAGTTGAGCCATTGTTGGGCAATTAATTAGCAGGATTGGATGGTTAGGTTCTACTTAACTGCATACTTTGCCTATCTCCACCTTGAAAAATCTCCATTTTTACTATTTAGCGACTCTCAGGTAAGAGGACATCTTGGCTCTGCAATTAGGTGTTCTCTATAGGGAGGTTCTACTCTATATAATTTTATATAATGATAAGAAAACAATGTGTGTTACTAGCTATATACTAGTTGCTATAGTATTAAAATATACAAGTATCAGAGTCATCAACAATCAATTCTGTCATCGTTTGCTTTTGTGAATGGAATAAATACCCAAATATGACCATTTCTTATAAGCATCGGTGGTTCAGTGGTAGAATGCTCGCCTGCCACGCGGGCGGCTCGGGTTCGATTCCCGGCCGATGCATTTTTTTTTTTACAATTTTTAAAACTCATTTATCACTTTTACATAATATTTGAAATCTAAAATGTTCGAGAATATCGTTTTTTTTTTAAATCATTTTGTTCGAAGAACAAACAGGGTCTTCTTGTACTATATACTAGAGGGGGCTCTCCCGTCTCTGTCGTGGAAAAGTAAAAAATAAAATATTTAAAAAATAATAATAAAAACAAGGGCTCCGCGCTTGACAAGGGAACTTCATTGAATGTCTTGAAGGCGATCCCCCTCCTTCTTGGACCTCCTGACTATTTCTATTTACATACTGCTTTTGAAAGTATATAACAATGTATATTATATTGCTCTGCTCTCATCTCGACATGTCTATTTCTTGTATACCTCTTGTTATGTCTATCAACGTAAAAAGTTGAAGAATTTTAAAGTTTTCGCTGTTTCACATTGACCGATAGGAATATTTACATACTATGTTTGAAAGTATACAAAATGTGATACGGTTCTTGCTTAGTCCAACCTGAGTATGTCTATTTCTTGTATACTTCTTGTGTGTTGTCTATTACAGCAAGATTTAAAATTTTTCCTCTGATTCATTGACCAATGAGAATTTTGTCTATTTTTACTACCTGTTCTATAGTTCAGAAGAAAAGCTGAGAATATCGTAAAAAAAATGAAAAAGAAGATAACTATAAGACACATACAGTGGTTGTTATATCTCTCCACCAAGACTGTATATAGAAAGTGGAAAGTCTTTGATATCGCCGGTCGTTTTTTTTTTTTTTTTTTTTTTTTAAGGAGACAGAGGTTGTTCACACTTGGTTATCTCGTGTGTCTTTAATAAAGGTCAATGTAATATCTTTCAAAGTTATTGTCTGAATCCCGATATACATGCTAAAAGGTAAAACTTCCTAAAATCTATGAGTGTATTTAGCGCCTGTTTTTATAGAGAAATTATAATTTCATTATACTTCCTATTATTAAATCAATAAGAGAAATTGAACAATGTGTGAAAGCTGCTTCCAAAATGGCGGTTATGTTTACCGGAAGTTGCATATTAAGGTAGCAGGCGAGAATTTGACGAATATTTCCGGCTTCTCCATCTTTTGTAAACGTAACACGTTTATGGGAAAAACTCCCACAAGATAATATTTCAATCTATTGTATAAGTTTGAAATAGTATATAGCGCGCTAGTAACATACACTGTTTTCTTATCATTTTATAAAGTTATATGTAAATAAAAACTATAAAAATTAAACCGTCTTATATAATACTATAGTAATAATCATTTGATATTGTAGCAGGGTATTTATTATTTTATTAACAGAGTATCATTTTTAATGTTTATTTTTTTTGCTATTCTGTAAACTTCCATCTTTGCTGGATCGTTACCCAGCATCTCTATCTTTTTGCTTAGTCGGTGGAGTATGAGACTTTTAATCTCAGGGTCGTGGGTTCGAGCCCCACGTTGAGCGTTTTTTTTTTTTTCATACACTTTGGTTAGTTTTGAAAATGAAAGCAATCCATAAATGAATATTTAATTAAAAAGGCATATATTGGATCAAAATATCATTTATTTTACCAATATTTTGATCCAATATATGTCTTTTTAATTAAAAACTTTGGTTAGTAACCCGTAAAACCATATTCTTTCTCTCTCATTGCTTTGTTTTTTATCATTCATAGTTTGTTCTTGTCTTACATAAATTTCCGTGTCATCCTGAAGTTTTGTCTTTCCTAATTTTTAATGTGGCAATATTAACAAAATCTGCCTAAAACTTGCGAGCAAAGCATGTATAGATATGTATTTCTAATGTCCTTCTTGATTATTTTTGTCTTTATTGTCTTCAAAATCTCATCGTCTGAAGAGATTTTCAAACTCGAAAGTTCGCAGTTATGTAAATAAAACATAATTATATTGCAGACGATAATTTTAATTATTTTTTTAACTTTTAATAAATATCTGTAATTACATCAATGAACATATACACTTGTTCAGCTATACATATATACAAATACTTTCTAGAAAAGAAAATAATATTTGAAAGAAAAAAAATACAAAAAAAGGCGCAAAAGTTTTCAAAATAATCGTCTGACACCCAACTTCCGGTGACGCCATGTTGGATAGATGATAAACAGATGGTAAAGAAAGGAGGTTAGGGGGTCTTCTTAGAGAGGTTTATTTATTTGATTCCCTTGTAACGACCACAAGTTAGGAATTCATCAATCAATGCTTGAGGGTGGATGTTCTATTTTTAGCTCAAGGGGTCCTTGTCTTCTATAATTACATCATATGGTAGGGGCATCCTTCCTATATCCAGGATCTCAACAGAGTCTTAGGGACCGTTTAAAATTTGCACGAAACATCGTCTTATTAATTAATTAAATCAACCTTTATTAAGACATTTAGTCTTATATACTTAGAGCTATATCAAATGATTCGCAGGGAAATGTAGAAAGAAATTCGGATATGCAAAGTTATATGGGAAATATGTAAATAGAAAGAATTCCTTTCTTCCTCTGGTGAATAAGACCGATGGTCTTAATAAAGCTTTGTGTGTGTAAATAGAGCTATATTTATTTTGATATAATATTCTGGAAGGTTTGTAGATGACTTTAAATCAAATAGTGAGTTTTTTCACTTGAGAAATTGATGTTCTAACTTGTAAAATAAAAGGACCCCCTATATAACAGGAAACTTAACGACAAGATCATTATGGGATCCAAAAATCCGTCGGTAAAAGAAGGAAATGTAAGCGGACGTTGTATCGAAGAGGTGTTCGCAGTTTCGCAAGGTCGAATGATGAGATTGTGTCAGTGAATTTCGTTAAGAGAGTTTCGCCATCACGACCCCGAGGGCTGAAATATAATAGCGGTCTCTTACTGTACACCTCGCACTGAAGTCGCCGCCGTAGTCTTGGAAAAGATTTTTTTTTTAATTACAAAGGCGGCATGATCAATGTAGAAGTTATAATAAAAATACTCAATTTGATTGTAGAAGGACGTTTGACAATTTTACCGCAAATGTCTCTTTTGAACGAAATTTCATGATTTATTTTTTAGAAATAAATTTCGATTATTAGTTCAAAAGAAACATTTGCGGTATAATTGTCAAACGTTGTTCAACAATCATAAGCCGCATTATATTGTATTATAACTCAATTTGATGTTTGCGGTAGAGCGATCGCTCGAAACATATTAAATATTTATAATTGTTTGTAATTCTACTGTCCTCAAAGCTTATGTCCATAGTTCATCTAAAATACCCATTCCAAGAGTCTAACATCAGTATCAGTATAAAAGAAAACCCGAAAAATGCAATATTACAGCGGTATGGTAGATTAAACTGGCGAAACCGTTGGGAGGGTTCACCACTGATGAGCCAGGCCCTTCCATTAAATTTTCAATGCAGTAAGGGCAGTAGAAACTTGTTTAATTTTTAAAAGAATCATACGCGTCTATAATATTTGCGAATTCTCATATTCTAGAAGTTACAATCGGAGTTTTGAAGGACTGAAGAATTAGCTACCAAGGGACACACTACAAGGTACTTGTTCTTACGTTTATTTATGACACATTCACATTCTATGGCCGCAGCCTTGCGGAAAATTGACCCAGAACAGGAACTTTACACACCCAAAAGATAGAGGACATTGCGACTGCTGTGATAGAGATGTACGGAGATATCAGAGGCTCTTCATTGGACACGACAACAACAGAAAATTGACATAGACCCAGAACTTTACACACCCAAGATAGAGAACGACTGCTGTGATAGAGATGTATGGCGACATCTGAGGCTCTTCATTGAACACGACAACAACAGAAAATTGACATGGACCCAGAACTTCCACACCCAAGATAGAGAACGACTGCTATGATAGAGATGTACGGAGATATCAGAGGCTCTTCATTGGACACGACAACAACAGAAATTTGACATAGACCCAGAACTTTACACACCCAAGATAGAGAACGACTGCTGTGATAGAGATGTATGGCGACATCTGAGGCTCTTCATTGGACACGACAACAACAGAAAATTGACATGGACCCAGAACTTCCACACCCAAGATAGAGAACGACTGCTATGATAGAGATGTACGGAGATATCAGAGGCTCTTCATTGGACACGACAACAACAGAAAATTGACATGGACCCAGAACTTCCACACCCAAGATAGAGAACGACTGCTATGATAGAGATGTACGGAGATATCAGAGGCTCTTCATTGGACACGACAATAACAGAAAATAGACATAGACCCAGAACTTTACACACCCAAGATAGAGAACGACTGCTGTGATAGAGATGTACGGAGATATCAGAGGCTCTTCATTGGACACGACAACAACAGAAAATTGACATGGATCCAGAACTTTACACATCCTAGATAGAGAACGACTCCTGTGATAGAGATGTACGGAGATATCAGAGGCTCTTCATTGGACACGACAACAACAGAAAATTGACATGGACCCAGAACTTTACACACCCAAGATAGAGAACGACTGCTGTGATAGAGATGTACGGAGATATCAGAGGCTCTTCATTGGACACGACAACAACAGAAAATTGACATGGACCCAGAACTTTACACACCCAAGATAGAGAACGACTGCTGTGATAGAGATGTACGGAGATATCAGAGGCTCTTCATTGGACACGACAAAAACAACAACTCTATGTCACAGTATGTCATGAAAATGTCTTTTGATGATTGACCTATAATTATACTCATGGACAAAACTCAACGAGTATGTCTGTACCTTTTAGCATGTATATCGGGATTCAAACAATAACTCTGAAAGATATTACAGTGACCTTTATACACATCAGATAACAAAGTATGAACAAAAAAATTGCCTGTTTCTTAAAAAAAAAAAAAAAACGTACGGCCATATCAAAATTATAAAACTTCCTTAAGTTTTGTCCATGAGTGTATATTACTTGAGACCTTTCATCACCATGTAGCATCTCTGATACAGCAGCCATCATAGAACACCATTCCACCCTGTTCTCTATGTACGATTCTCTTCACCTCTTCTAACTTCAGACCTTTCTAATACATTACCAATTCTTCCTTGGTCTACCTAAATATTAGATTCATAAAATATATTTTTACATATTTTTCTCTATTTTACATGGTGTGTGGGATTCTACTTCGGGAAAGTCTGAAGAGAAAAAGAATGAGATTTTTTAAAAAAGAAATTTGAAACTGGGGTTGAGTAGGATGTGGAAGTGTGGGGACCCTCAGTTGCCCCCGTTCCACACAATTACCACCATTAGGCCTAGCGTCGGCTGCAGTAAAGTGATAGCACGACCTCTAGATATCATCTGGAGAGGTTATCTGGGCTGGAGAAAGTTTCTCTGTTGATTGAGTTATCCAATCTCTTCCTTTCTTATTACACCCTCCAAACTGTTTCTTATTTACACTCATGTACACAACTTCAAAAAGGAAACAGAATGTTCACACTTTGTTATCTCGTGTGTCTTCAATAAAGATCACTGTAATATCTTACAGAGTTAAATACAAGGTAATAAGATCAAATCCAAATAAATAGTGTTTGACGTTTCGATAACAGCGTTGTTACCATCTTTAGACAAAAGTACTGTACTTCACAACGCTGTTACCGAAACGTTACACACTATTTATTTGGTCTTATTGTATTTCTATTCTATAATTCAAATTGTGCCTTATCATCTTTCAGAGTTATTGTCTGAATCCCGATATACATGCTAAAAGTTACAACTTCCTTAAGTTTTGTCTACGAATGTATGTATCCGTTCATTCGTTCTAAACCTTCCATCACGCCGTGATAAATAAATACACCATCAAACACACACTGTCGTAGAACGGATGCAAATAGGGGATCACATTTATCAAGAGTACTGTCTCCAATTTGCCAGGATATATCAGTAACCAAGCAGCAACAAGGAACCTATTAGGTCGCGCTGGTATTTGGTATTTAGCTGGATGATTGATTAATTCCGTGTGTTTAAAATTTGCATAGAATGGTAGGCATAAATCACGGCGTGGATTAAGAGTGTTTCGGCCGCTATGACCCGGCCGCAACGGTCGCATTCCACCTCCTCCATTGTGGCGGTGGCGGAACCAGTTTGGTGGGGTCGACATATCGTCTGTCTGCCGGTCTCTCTGGATCGTCTGATCGCTTTTTGTGTTTCCAAACCCTCATTGAAGTATCCACAGACACCTAACATCATAATAAGTATTGTGTAAACTAGAAAATTACCCTTCACATATGGAAGGAACGGTCTTACTTGGACATTTTCTATTTCTTGGGTGCCGTGTGTGTGGCCGAAATTTTCTAAATGTTAAACCAGGACTTTTGTTTCCAAACCCACATTGAAGAATCCAAGACACCTAACATCATAATAAGTATTGTGTAAACTAGAACGTTAATCCTTCGCAAATGTAAAGAAGAGTTTTACTTGGCCATCTTCCATTCCTTA